ATGCGCGGTGTATGGCTCCACGCCTTCATCTGGTATCGCGGGCTCGCTCAGCATGTGTGTGAGGCGGTCCACAATCCACTTTTGCACGTCCAATTGGTCCTGGTCAGAAGTTCTGATCGGACCGAAGGATTCTGCACGGATACTCGTTGACAGGAGGTTCATTAAGAGCACAATGTCACCCAGTGGATGTGAGGGGTGTAGCATCACTAGAATGAAAGAAATCCGGATGCTTTGCCAGAATGTCTCCATCGCACTTTTTATGTGCAATACCCCGCAGGCGATTTGGTAAAGTAGACGCATGGCCCTAGTCGAGTCCACTAGGGGCTGCAGATCGGACTGTGGTGTCTGCCGAGTAATTCGTTTATCTCGGGATGCCGGGGCGTACTTAAAGCGAGGAACTGCATTCACCTCGACAGTGTCTTGCAAGACTCCAACTAAAGGTGTGATTAGCTCGGAAAGTGGAACATCATCCGACATCAAACTATATTTTGTGATAGCTTCGAACCGGGGGATCGGCTCGTAGAACTTTTCGTTGATGGCGCGCTGCCATAGCGAGGCGATTGCTTGTGTATATTCTAATACGTAGCTGCTTGGGTCAACCCGAGCCATGACCTCCATAACGATGCTGGACATGGGCAGATGCGGTTCAGAGGGAAATGCAAGTTTGGCCATGGCTTCGAAATCAGTTTCTTGGTTAGGATGCGTACGGTGACTCAAAAGTCGCATCATAAATCGTTGATTGCGACTCGCCTCTGCATAATTGCGCTTCACTTCGTCGACTTCGGCTGGAGTATCAGTCGCATCAGTCATAGTAAGCTCCACACCAGCAGGACTCAGCTGTAGCGGTGCAGGGCCATCTTGGCTTGATTGCCTTTTGCGCTTGCCTGGAACTGTCGGCGTGGCTCGCTTGGAACGCGCTGCCGACTTGCTGGGTGATACCATGGCGATTTCATCATCGTCAAATCCATCGCGGAAGGGAAGCACCCGGGACTTTCGAGGAGTCACAGGTGCTTCCATCTCGCGATGCCTGGATTTGTAATTCCGAAGCTGGTAGGCTTCGTCCACGAGGTCTTGTTGAAGAAATACATTCTCCGTCGCCAATATCTTGCCTTCGGACATGGCTGCCTCAACCTCTTGCTTGTGTTTTGCCATCTCGTCGGTCATGGACTTCCGTAGAGCCGCTAGTTGTCGGTCATAGTCTTGTGTCATCGTTGTCTGCTTCCTACGAATGATCGAGATTTCCCCCGCTTTCGTTTCCACTTGCATCCTCGCTTCGGCTAGCTCTTGTAACATCTGTTCTCTTTCTTGTTCCATCTATAAAGGTTGTTAGAGTTTATACAAAGAAGCTTTCAACTAACCTACCTGCACTAGACGTGCATTAATCTCCGCAGCGGCGTTCCCTTGCCCATAGTAGTCGTCCACATCCATGGCATCGCCCAGCTGCCTATTGACCGCAAAGATAGGATCCGGGGCGAGTACATGTTGACCATGCGAAATGACGTGCGGTTTATCGACATTATCGTACACTTCGGCCTCCAATTCCCCCACCTCTAGTGTATTGTAGTCATTCGTCAATCCGGTGTGTAGGCGAGGTGGTGGTCTCAGTGATCCAGCATTGTCATTCAATGACACTGGTTGAGCGTGTAGTACGGGGTTGGTGTTTATGGGGTTTGAGTGGTGGTATTGTGAGGCTGACGCCTGGGTTGCTTGGAACGCATTCTGTTCCAGCGCATACCACGTCCCCGGTGGCAGGGAGTCGAACTCGTCGGAGCCGTAGTCGTCGTCGTCGTCTTCCATGCCCCCGCCATGAATGGTCTACCAGAGGGAGTTCTCAATTCACGGAGGGCTTTTGATCATTCTCGAGTTCGAGTGGTTCCGCGGGTTGAAGAAGTGAGGGATAGATAGAGATAGAGATAGAGCACGGGAGTTCAAAGCACCTGGGCAACGACCCTGCACATCCAATTTCAATTTCTAGCCACGAATGTAATATTTGTAGTTCAATTAATGATTTAATTCAATTAATAAACCCGAATAATGAGCCAAATATAAAATATACAAGCAAAGAAAAAAAAAAGTAAACACGGGGCTGAAGCTGAAGCTGACCGCTTTCGGCACTTCACATGAGCTCATCAACTTCTAATCCGATGATCCTCTCTCGCTCTCTGCACTCTCCACTTCTACTGCCCAGAATTTGTTTCTGGCCCCCTTTTCTGCATCATGTCGAAATCTCGCCGTAATGTTAGGTTTCAACACCGGGCAAATGATGAGCGACGCCTCAGTGTGTCCTCCGACGTCAGCGATGCACCCTCAGAGCCCACTAGCCCCAGCAAAAATGCCAACGGGTCTAAATCCTCTCCCATAACTGAACAGGTCAGTTTCCAGTGGAGAATAGCCTCGGAATCTATGTCTAACATGATCTTCACTTCTAGAATCCCCCCCCAGTCCGAATATGAGAAGAAGAAGCAGACCTTCATTACCCGGACGATATGGACATTTGTGATGATCGCCGGTTTCTTCGTCGCTTTGTTCTCCGGGCACATTTATATTATTGCCCTAATCACTGGCATCCAAATCATCTCGTTCAAGGAAGTCATCGCGATCGCCAGTATCCCTAATAAGGAGAAGAACTTACGGTTCACCAAATCGTTGAATTGGTACTTCTTGGCGACCACTATGTATTTCCTGTACGGAGAGAGCGTAATCTACTACTTCAAGCACATCTTGCTTGTTGACAAGGTTCTGCTTCCGTTGGCGAACCACCACCGCTTCCTCAGCTTCACACTTTACGTCATGGGTAAGTGTTTCAACCGTTCCCCTTTTACTCCGCTAATTCCGGTTGATAGGATTCGTCTTCTTTGTCGGATCTCTGCAGAAGGGCCACTACCGATTCCAGTTCACTCAGTTTGCTTGGACCCATATGGCTTTGTATTTGATTGTTGTCCAAGCTCACTTTGTCATGAACAACATTTTCGAGGGCATGATCTGGTTCTTCCTTCCCGCGGCGCTGGTCATCACCAATGATATCTTCGCCTATGTTTGCGGTATTAGCTTTGGAAGGACACAACTTATTCAGCTCTCCCCGAAGAAGACTGTTGAGGGATTCCTCGGCGCATGGGCCTGCACCGTTGCCTTTGGTTATTTCATGACCAACTTGCTGATCCGTTACAAGTACTTCATCTGTCCTGTCAATGACCTGGGCTCGAATGCTATGACCGGTCTGGAATGTGTTCCGAACCCGGTCTTCACGTCTCAGCCTTACTCTCTTGAAATCTTTGGCCTGGACAAGACCTTCTGGGTGGAACCAATTCAGTTCCACATCTTGGCCTTCGCCACTTTCGCTTCGCTCATTGCTCCGTTCGGTGGATTCTTTGCTTCCGGTCTCAAGCGCACTTTCAAGATTAAGGACTTTGGCGAGTCCATTCCTGGCCACGGTGGTATCACTGACCGCATGGACTGCCAGTTCATCATGGGCTTCTTCTCTTTCATGTACTACCACAGCTTCATTGCCGTTTACAAGGCCAGCGTGGGTGATATCATCGAGACCGCCATCAACGGTCTTACGGTTGACGAGCAGCTCGAGGTCGTTCGTGGCTTGGGCAAGTACCTGTACAATCAGGGTGCCGTCTCAGAATCGGTATGTTTGTTTGAATCAATTACTACGATTATACCACTAACCTCTCCTAGATCCTGGAGTGTCTGGTCACCGAGCTCAAGCGTCGATGAACTTAAAATCGTCCGGCACTCAGATTGAAAACATCACCCAAATTTATGACACTCATCTTTCACTTTCACTTCCATCACTCGAGGACGACCTTTCAACCCCGCGCTCCACCCTTTGCAACTCTCCTCGATTGCTTCTGCTGTGCCGGCTACCCCCTATTCTTGCTTCTTGCTTCATTCGGGACATGATTTGGGTTCACAGAATATGCATGCAAGCTTTAATGTGTGCATGCATTATATGTACATACATGCGTCCCGCTCGCCCTACCCGCCTTTCAACACGGCATCAAAACCTAACAAAATGACCCGTGGCAAAGGCTTTAATGAATCGGTGTGAAGACCGGAAATCTTCCTCGCCGGAGGCACGGGGACGAACCCTTTCCCCCTCATTTACGGCTGTTTCCCTGTACTTTTGTTCCGTACTTTTTTTTTCTATTCTCTTCTCATGTCTTTTCTTTCTGATTGATTCCCGGCCCTGGACTGAACCTAAATTTGATGACTTGTGTGCTCGGTCTATCTAGACCTGGAGCTCTGCTATACTCCCGATGCGTGGAAAGGACACATCCCTCTATAGAAGTGGCACAGGAAGGGGGATGGCGGGGGACATGTCTGCGTGTTTTGTTCTGGCAGTCTCGTCTCTAACTTCGCTGTTTTTCGACGCGTCAAGGAAACGGGCTGTAGATTTGTACATAGCTTTCAATTCAAATTTTGAAGCTGATTTCTGATTTGTTTCACTTCATTCACTTCATATATTGTTACCCAAAAATTGGTTCGTGGGCGAAGTAAATATCATCCATGGTGTTGTCCTACAATGAGAATCTGATTATCGATAGTTGATGGTTCTTTTCATTGTATCTATCGATATCTCGTCACTGGTCATAGATGTTTGGGGTATCGGGAAATCGTGGGGAATATGAATCAAGGCGGTAATTTTCCAGAATGTGAGTCTCTTGTGTGTGAAACTCTGGAGCGAGAATCCGAGTGTTTCGCCCATCTTTCCAGAAAAATGCGGACAAAGTCCTCGTCGGAGCTTAGCAAGGATACCGGCGTATCCCAGAAAGAATCAGGACGAACAGCAGATAGCGAGTAACCCTCACCAGGGCATTGTTCAGTTGCAACCCAGATGGGACATAGTATGTGGCGGCCTTCCATCATAGCTCATTGCCAAACCCGCTATCGTGTCATCGGTCTGCAGAAACAAAGAAAGGCTGCCTCATCTCGCTCGCTTCGCTGCATGAGGCACGTAAGGTGCCAGGAACACAAGTAGCAAGAACTGCGTCTTAACCGTCGACTTCATATTCTTCCATTTCAACCTTGAAATAAGCCGCGACCTGGCGCCTCTCTTCATCCGCACATGCAGGATCGAGCATGAATCGCACGGCAGCATCGCGGCCTCGTTCGCCTGTCCTCTGGCGGTCCCCATTCGCGGCAATTGGTGTTAAGGGATGAGCAGGTCGCGGAGTACCTTGGTCGTTAGCGCCAGTGCCATTGGATGGTTTGGGCGGCTGGCCGATCCACGGCTGGTAGCGTGGGATGTTGTGTTCGCTGGCTTCTTGGTTCAGCGGGATGCGGACTGTTAGGAACCGGTCTGCTGGGAATTCCGAGCCGACGGCGGTTAGTGAGCGGTGGTGGGTGTAGAGTTCTAAGAGGTCGAAGAGGGTTTCTGGGTGGCTGTTAATATGTGGTGTTCTCTAGGTAAATGTGGCTGCAATAATAAGACTTACCCATGATTTCTGCTCGGCTGGTGCTCCACTGCGCATAGTCTAGCCCGGACTCCACTTGTTCGACGCGCCGGTCCAAAAGTCGTCCTGCAAGCTCAAGGCAGCTAAAGGCCATCGTCGATGAGCTTTGCTTGATGGGTGCAAATGTGCGATAAAGATCCGACGAAATGCGGTAGGCAAGATTGGAGACTTCGGAGTTTTGTAGTAGTCCATAATGCCGACCCAGCTTCATGAGGGTCTTATGGGGATGCCGGGTTCGAAAGTCAAACCCAGAGGCCTCTAACATGAGTCGCTCGAGCCCGATTATGCCACGCGCGTGGGATTCAAACATCTGGCGACAAGTGTTAATCCTCTGTCTTGTCTCGTCTGGAATCATGACTTACGGGATCATCAGCCGATAGGTGTTCTGAGGGCGCTAATTTCAAGTTATACGCTGCGCAGACAATGTCTCGCGACTTTTTGAGCGTATCTTCGATCTTGCACGCTGTGAATAGAGCCGCAGCCGCAGCATCCTATATCCTGGGTTAGACTGATCTCCTTGAGGGGGATTTCTGAGAGAACTCACTGTCCAATTATACTCATTGTCTGGGTGCACCAATCTAAATCGGTGATAATACCCCACTGCTGTGTCAAAAGTGCGAATGGGACTGGATTTCAGGTCAGTCTTGATGCATTTTGCTTAGCTTAAACTCAACTTACAGGTTGAGGGCTCTCCGCACGCTGTCGATCCACGCCACGCCCTGAAGTCGCAACGAAGTTTCGCGAAGAGGATTAACATTCATCGCTTCGATGCAGTTTTCAATTGTCTGTTCGAATATGTACGGATTGGCCACCTGTATAAAAGACGGGTGGATGGCTGGGGTTGGCAGGCCAAATTCCAGCGTTGAGCCCCCACGGGGAGACTCGTCCCTCATATTGCGTGCCATGGCGGTTTCTTAGATCTCCTAATAATATGGCAATATCGAGCAATGTCTTTGGAAGTTGCAAGATGAAGACGCGCAACAAGTGACTGGATTGATATCTCGATCACGTGTCCGTCCAAGAGCTCTCAATCACGTGTAGGTTTACCGGGAATACATATTCCCGTATTCCGAAGTGTATACATCTGTCTCTACCATGATGCTTGATTTTCGAAGACAGATGTGCAATTACAAACATATTTATCATGCTGAAGATAAGTGAATAGCATAATTTTGTCTCACAGGTCCCTCAAGGCACTCCCCGACCAGCCCGTGTCGCCTTAGCCAACTCACTTTGAGCTGTGTTATCCGCATATCTCTTATAGATGGGAAGGTAATGCGCAAGATCACTGGTAGTCTCCTTGATACTGCGCCTGCTTTCAACGGCAGCAAGCCAAGTCCTCCACCGGCTCCAAATACCCTCATCCAAACCCCCTTCCCCCTCCCTTGGAACCCCTAATCCACCATTATTAAACTCATCAAACACCCACAGTCGTACCGCCCACGGGGCCAGCACCAAATCTGGAAGACTAATATCCTCACCAAGGAAGAAAGGTCCCTCAGTGTGCATCTCCTTAGTCCAAGCTTTCAGGTGATTTAAAAACTCTTGCCGAGCCTGATTCAACCCCGCATCTGTGTTCTGCTCACTGCCATCTTCTGACTGGTACTGCAAGAATCGGTGGAAAGATGGGATTATTCGAGATGTCACATAGTCAATCCAGATGCGTGCACGGGCACGCTCGTATGCATCCTCTGGCAGGAAGCGGGGTTTATGGTCTGGGTATGCTTCTTCCAGATACTCCAGGATCACAGTGGATTCGTACAGTGGCCGTGGGTGTGGATCTGCTGGCGTTGAGAGTGTAGGGACTAGGCCTCGAGGATTCAATGTGAGTAGTGATTCTGGCTTGTTGTAAGGGTTGACTTCGATATATTCGTATGGAATACTTTTCTCTTCGAGGGCGAGCCAGACTCGTTGCACTTTGTTTTATTAATATGGTTACTTGTCAATGAGTGACTGGAGACAAACCAAATCTGCGAAACTGGTCAGCAGTCGTTTGGTTGGAGTAGAGAGGGGTCGTGGACATACGGACAGAACCACCCCGCATATAACTTCAATGGCTGTTCAGCGCGATGCTGATCGACTAGCACCTTGGCCAGGCCACTGGCCTCGGGGTAGAGGTTAGAGTCAGGATGACCGGGCATTGTAGAATGTAATTTGATGTTTCCAAGGGAGAAGTGAAAAATGAAAGGAGGAAGAGATCCGAGTTGGACAAGTCGTGGATATTAGTGTGACATCATTTCATAGGCATATTCGTGATTGAACAGTGTCTTTAGTTAGATACTATTTGAAAATTGAAAATATAACACCAAAGAAATATAAAGCCTTGCAAAAACATCAAAAACCATCGGACTCTAGTCTTTTCCATACTTCCTGATCAACTTCTGCATAATCGACATAGCACCAGATCGATACCCTCCACCAAAAATAGCATGATGATTCAAATGATGATACCTTTTCGGGTATCAGTAAACTTATCTAATAATAAGAGAAGAAAAGGAAAAAGAAGAACTCACAATTCATATAATTCCACCCGATCAGCATACTCCGCCACAGGTTCAGTCTTGGGCACAATCCGATGATACTGATCAAAGAATCGAGCCCCAAACCCACCAAACATATGCATAATCCCAAGGTCAAACTCACTATGTCCATAGCAAGCTGACGGATCATACACCATATCCCCAGGTGTCTCATCGCGACCCGAGCCAACAATCCGACCCCAATCAGCATTCCCACTCCACAGATCTCCATGAACAACAACAGGCACAATCTCCTCTCCCTCTCCACTGGAAGTATACCCTAAATGACCGTCCCCAAGCAGCCGGGGCACAACCTTATGCGTCGTCTTTTCTACTGCCTCGCGCAGCTCAGCATCGGGTCCATTGCGCTCTTCAGATGTTTCCAGGATCGTAAGGAGCCGTTCGTTCGCGTAGAACTCAGCCCAGCTATCACAGAACCGGTTTGGCTGCTTGGTATCACCGCAAAAGGTTGGAACGGGGAATCCGAATCTGCGCCGGCCGGTGTTTGGGTCTGGGGGTGCGGGCGTAGTATGCAGTTTTCCGAGACGGTGCACGAGGGTGGCTTCAACGCTCGTGCTACGCCCCATCTTGCCCCCGAGCTCAAGGAACTCTGTTGCGAGGAAGTGCCTTTTGGCTTCTGTCCCCGGTTCGTCAAGTGGTCCCCGAGCTAGGGCGTGTGGACAGAACCCTGGTACGGAGGCTGCGATTGCATTGAGGGACTCGGATTCTCCTTGGAACATTTCTTCCGCAGCTTTACCATTTGAAGAGGTTTTTACAAAGTAGCGCCGCTCTTCTTTACCATCTTTGCTGGGGATCTGGGCATGGATGGTGCCCGTGCTTGTGAAGCCTGAGCCTAGGCCGGATGTCGAGAGGCTGGCTTTTGATTCGGGTGGGAGTGAGAGGGCTTGAATGATGGGTTCCGGTACTGGAGACATTGCTATTAGAGTTAAGGTGTATTAGGAAGAGTAGACTTGTTTTTAGACCGATGATTAACTAGACGCGGAGATGTGAATACCTAGGTAGACCGCATTGCAAAGGGCTATGACGTTTTTCTCCACCTCGATATTGGAGCTCTTAGCACCAGGCCTATACGGAGTACCCCGTACAACCTTAGTACATAGATAGAATGCATACAGTTTTCAGGCACATATTCACAGTTTATTATTTCCTATCTTCAGTTACGATATGAGATGAGCTCGCCACAGTAACAATAAAAGGAATTGTCCACATTTTCCTACAGTACTCCAATTCATCCAGAATGTCCACGGTAACAACTCTAACCATAATAAAGATATCAACTATGCGGGAGACAGTTTGTTCAACAAAAGTAGCGCAGTCTTTGTGCGCTCCCTTGTGTCTAGCTCCGTGTCATCCTCAAGGCTAGCCAGCCGTTCCGCAAAACCAAGAGAACGAAGTCTCACTGCCCGCTCCCGGCAACCTTCATGGTCACTCTGGTCTTCTTCGTAGATGAGGTTGATCACTACCCAGACACAGTTCGACCGAATGTCCTTGTGGGAATGGTTGAAATAATTGCCTAGAGACCGCAGCAAATCACGGTGGAATGTGACGATGCGCCGGTGGCGCGGGTGTCCGGCCGCCAAGTGGATGACGAGAGCGGCAGCTGCGTTGATAATCTCATTGGGAACATGGAGGGACTGACTGCTGGAATCCCGGCGGTGAGGAAGTTGGATGGTACGTGGACGTAGTGTATCTGCAATGGTATCGAGGAAATCATTTTGACCAAGCTCTCTGAAGAGATATTCGATCATCTCAGGTGCATCCCGACCACATATCATGTTGCGCAGTAAGTCAAATGTCTGCTCCTGGACAGCAATATCGTCCTGTCGAGACTGTGTGGTTTGGGCCAGGTTTCCGTGTAGAACGAGTTTGCGTCTGCGTCTTGCATCAGGAAGGAACATGTCCAAACTCATTTTGGAGGGAGGCATGGTATCGGTCATCTTGAGGTCCTCGTCCCACTCCGCTGCATCATCCATGGGGTTCAGAATATCGACCTGTTCGCCAGCTGAGTTGGATCGGCCCATGGCAAACCCGGGACTTTGGTCTGTCTCCTCTTCCATCCCCCGGCGAGTCACTGCGCGGACTGGATCCTGGGAGATGATCTCCATAATCCATTCTGGGCCTAAGGTCTCGATGATGTTCATTCTGACGTCGTTTGCAGTATCATAAACCATGTGCTTGAGAGCCCAGAGCGATTCAATCTGTAATTTGGTGTTGGGTGAATGAGCATGTTCGCAAAGGATGGGAATGATGTTGTGGGAAATGATTGCCTGAGAAGATCATGTTAGCTGCAAAGTTCATGAAAACAAAAGATAGGCATCTACAAACCTCTTTCATGGGACTGAAGTCCAAGGCCAAGTTACAGATCGCAGCCGTTGCTGCAATTTGCACTTCGAGGTCAGAATGGCGAAGAAGGGCAAACAGCGGCTTAGCTACGCCAGCATCAATAAGACTAGTTCTTAGCACGCTCACGGATCTGGTTAGCATCCGAGCTGTACCACAAGCGGCCAGAATTGTCGGAATCGGATTTCCATCCTCTGCAGTATTTCTGGGTGTAGCAGCATCAGCCAGTGCGTCACTGGGCCTTGGCTTGAGAGCGTCGATGATGTAAGGGACCACACCATGTTCGCAAATCGCCTTGCGGTACTCATCCTTGAATGGGACGAGTGCTGCTAAAGCCTTGAGAATGTTCTCTCGGTAACGCATCACATGGCAAAGGGTCGGGGAGTAACCGGAGGGCCCGAGGCGGCACTCCTGCGAAAGAGACTCAGGGTCCCGGACTGGGCCATCTTCTGCGTGCCACATTGGCCGGGATGTCTCCGTGATCGGGTTGTAAGTCTCCTTAAGAAGTTGTGAAAGTCGCTTAAGCGCATTAGCTTCTACTGCGTGTTTCTGCAGTTCCTGGTCGTCCATGACCAGGTTGGCTAATACGGCAGGGGCCTCTTCTTTTAAGCGTAGGGTTGACGAGAGCAGCCCATCATGGATGGCGCCTTCTTCATCCGGTAGTCGGACGTTCTTGTCAAGCATACGAATCAAGATGGGAATTAACAAATAACTGAACATTGGGACGCGATGCTTCTTCGCCAATCCTAATCGGAAGAGGGCCGTGACAAGACGAGCGGCCATCAACCGTGCCATACCATTCTCTGAGCGAAGAATGCAAAGCAGCCATGGGATAATCGAATTCTCGTCGTCTTCTGGGACAGGAGTGTCAGACAGTGAAAAAGGTGTGGGGTAAGAATGGCTGTGTCGGCGCTGGGAGCCCCCATGCCCCAGAGGTGGGAAATTGGCAGAACTGGATGATGATTTCGTGTGTGCTAGAGGAACCGAAGGTAAAAGCTGTTCTATGGGGTTGGAGCCAAGATGACGGGGTACTGCGGAGCCCGACAGATATGTGGATCCCCACGGACCTTTCTTGATGTCTGATGGGGCAAACCCAGCGACTTGTTTTGGAAACACCGTCACAATGGCAGGTGATGACAGAAAGTGCTCCGCCCTCCATTTTGATTGTTCAATAATAACAGCAACCGCACGTAGAATCGGTGCTAGCTGGGCGGATTCGGGGGCCGGAAGCGGTAGATCCTCCAATGCGCCAGGTTCTTTAAGGCGATCCTCCGCACCGGGCAAGACAAACCCTTTGGCCACAACAAATGAGGCAATCTTGAGCGCCAAAGCATCCAACACCCCGGACTCTGCTAGTGCCGTCTTGTGGGTTTCCTCGGTGCATAGCTTGCCGATCAGGGCGGCTGCTAGCTCAATCGTGGCCTGGCTGCGCAGGTTTTTGTACTCCTGCGAGATTATACGCCTGAGAGAGCTGATATTTGCAGAAGCAAAAACAAGATCCGCAAAGTGCGTATCCCGAGGCCATTGTTCCTGGCTTTGCAGCGGTATCCGGTCTGCAATTATGTTCAGGAGTCGTAGAATGGGAAGACAGAATGAATCTGGACAGTCCGGAGACGAAAATATTGAAAGTAGGGTCTGGGGGATATTGCTGGCGAATAGTGGGGTGAGAAACGTCGGGCCACCTGCTCAGTACAGTCAACGTCCGTCTTGGTATATTTGGACATGGATCTAGTCTTCACGTACCTTGTGCCAAGCTCCCAACAATTAAAATGGCTTGAAGGCATGCTTCATAGTCTTCTGGGGCTTTTGGCGTAAATTGGCGTTGGTGCGATATCAATTCATTAAACTCGACCGTTCCCGGCCACCTCGAGGTCAGCAGCCGTGCCAAAGCTGGTATGATTCCCTCGACAATGTAGGTTTCCTTGCGCTGGTCATGGCCAATCAGTTCATTCTTCAGAGTGCGCAAAGCTGTAATCTGAGAGGAGGCCGATTCAGCGCTCTGTAGCTGCAGCAGAATCGGCGGTGCGGCCGCTCGCGTCATCATCTAGCGATCACCCCCTCCCAGTGGGAGGTGCTCGGCGTTTCACTTTGTTAAATTAATGAATGAGTAAAGAGGCTAGAATGATATCGAGGAAGTTATCTCCGTCAATGTGAAGACTGTGTAAACCTGGATGTACAACATAGATATGATGCCTGACCGGAACTGTAGAGCCGGGCCCAGAGGTACTCCGCACTTCAGTTCTGCCGAAACATACCGCCTCTGAAAAGTGGTCCCGGATTAAGGAAGGACCGCAGTACTCGGCCTTAATTGGTCTGAGCCATGGCTACAGAACATCCATGGATATTTGTGTGTTGTATACATTTAGATACTGCACTTAAACTAATAATATCTGCATAGAAAAGTTATTGTCAAGTGTGAGGCATCTGAAGTCTAACTCTACAGATTAGCATGGTTTCCAAGATTATTTTGCCTTGGCATGAAAAGAGGAGCGTATTCAATCCTACAAGGGTATCACCTGAGTAGGAATGTATGGATATTAATCAATATTTGGCTGTGGGGTACCCCATACTAGTACTATATACTCCCCGCACTGAAATGTATATTAAGTAGCCTCCAGGGCTATATAGTGTAGGCCATATTGTAAGGCCTTGATCGTTAGTTAATATCAGTTCTCACCTTTATGCAGCACTGCAGCAAATCTGACATACTGCTGATCCGGGGTTTGGGAACGGATATTGTCAGGACAATCATGTAGATCGAATCATTCTAATTAGGCGCCATCTACGATATATTGCATCTAGAACTCTAGCACTCCAACAGAAGTACAATTGTATACTTGAATTCTCTTGGCACTTTAACCCAATGCAGCTTAGAGTACCGGTAGTTTACCCCCGCTTCCCGGCGCGCTCGGTAGTACAACATAAAGTCGCATTAGATGTAAAATGGTATAGGGTGCTATACCAGACACAGGAGGGTTGTTTGAACAGATTAAAGATATATATATACTCTTGAACTAACTATCCAAGATGTAAGGAATATGTATCGTTAGATATAATATCTATATAGTACATTAATATATATTAATATTAATACAGCCAAGAAATACTAGTAGCCCAAAAAAATACACATACAGTCACATTACAGTAACCGGCGGCATCCAGCCACTGACAGCATCGATGTAATTACCTCACTGACGAACTTTGAAAGAACAAGATTTTCAACCGGCTTTTTTGCCCCCTTCCTATTCTCTCGTCCAAGGTCATTCGGAGGATTATTCCCTTGACCACATACCCCCTCTTTCCTCTTTCCTTATTTGTTATAATCTTGCAAGTTTCCCCTTTTGCTTTTCCTCTCCTCTAAGCCTCTGAGGATGAGGCCGGCCGTGCACCCACGCCATCCACAGCGCGCCCTGACTGTGCGCCCACGTGGTCTCACCTTGGACTGTGAATGCTCAGATTCTCAACATTCCTTAATAACCTAGTCACACCCTAAACCATGTTGGCGTCTTCGCCTTCGCCTTCGACGGCTGCGTTACGCTCCCCGCTTCCTTCAACTTCGGGGTCGCATTCCCATTCACACTATGAGCCGACTGGCGCTCCACAATTCAATAGTCCTCGATCCTCGCGTTTGGCTATTGACGAACTCCGGTCAGCCTTGAATCGGCATACTGTCGATCCCTCCTCTCCTGAAAGTTCGGATCTTCAACGCAGGCGCGCATCTTCCTCCACCGACACTTTAAAGACCCTAGTCAATAATTCGGTCTTGGCTTCGACCCCCCAATCAGCCATTTTTTCCGCTGCGACTGCAACCACCCCAGCGGCTGCCACGTCCACAAATCCTCCGACTTCCTCCCCCGCCCCCTCGATGCCCGCCCCTACCTCCGGTTCCAACAAGCGCAACAGCCAACGGGACCATCATTCGTCGGATGCGACGCCAACGGAATACGATGGCGAAGATTTGGAGAGATCACAGTCCAAGCGCCTGCGACCTTCCAAACCAGATGTCAAGATGTTGCCCACGCAATATGAACTGGCCGACCCCCGCGACATGGTCGTGCTGATTTCCAGCATGCTCATGGAGCTGATCCGATTCAACGACAAGATCCCCCTCCACCAGGGTCGTTTGACTCGCTTCCACTCGCGCTCTCCCCCTCGAATCTCCGTGCAAGATTACCTCCAGCGATTGACGACCCACGCTACTCTCTCACCCCCTATCCTCCTCAGCATGGTCTACTACATCGATCGACTCTGCGCACTGTACCCCGCATTCACCGTTTCCAGCCTGACCATCCATCGGTTCCTGATCACTAGCGCCACAGTTGCTAGCAAGGGACTCAGCGACAGTTTCTGGACCAACAAAACGTACGCTCGAGTTGGTGGCATCGGCATGACGGAACTGGCCATGCTCGAACTTGATTTCCTGTTCCGAGTCGAATGGCGCATTGTTCCACAACCGGAAGTGCTAGTGGACTATTATCAGAGCCTCGTCGATCGATGCGACGGGTTTGAAATCGAAGGTGTCTGCCAGAATGGCAGTGCGAAAGCCGGGGTAACGGGTATTGCCCCAGCAGCCGGTCCTATTCCAGCATAAAGCTGGACCACGCCCAATTACGCCGCCCATGCGAAATCTGCACAAAATTACGCAAATTACTTTCTGCCCTGGACCACTCGGGCCGGTCTCGAGTCAAGCCATGGATGAGTGGATTCTTCTGCCTATCACCCGCCGAGTCACTGGCGGTGTGATTTAATACATACCACTTGCATTAAGGGGGGATGGTGTCGGATCTCGATGCACCATTGCTTTTGATCTAATAAGGAGCACCGGCATCAGAAATGGCGCTTTTAGAACAGGAATCTATCTCAGCATATACTAAAAGGTCGATGGGAAACACCTTGTTCTTTCTTTTCAGCGATTTTTTTTCCCGCAGGGTACTCGGCGTTTCATGTCTTAGGGGATGATGGGTGATATCCATGATCAAATCGCCTATCGTCTGAACTGTTTTTTTTTAGAACCATACAAATCTCAAATATCCACTCATACCTCGAGCATTTGAAATTGTAGATCTTCCGCGTGCTATGTATGCAGGTACAAGAATAGTCGGCTGCTTATGCAGCCTTGTCGGGCCTTTTGGTACTACATATGTTGTAGGAGTTTTGGTAGACTTTTTCAAGGCTTTTTTTTGAACTACATTTGAACAATAATAGATGTTCATTCATACTAAGTAAACTCGAAGAATCCGAAACTACATACTTTGTATGTAACTAGTATATTATACCTACCTAAGTAGAGACCAAAGACCCAAAACGGTCTAGCGGCAAACCCGTGGGACAGACCAAGTTTGCACTGTTTGTTCTTTAACTTTGTATAGCTTTCTTCTTTTCTTCGAGTCCTCATGTGAATGCTTTCCTCTTTCACTGAATTATTGAAGTCGAGGTCGGCAATTGAGGCCCAAGTGTGCAATTCCAAAGCACTATCACTTACAACCACTTTTAGGCTATACTATTGGTTGGGCATCCTGAAACCTATCTTGACACATTCTATTTCACCCCGCGCCTGACTGGGTGCCATTCGAGATAGCTAGAATGGACATCGAAAAGACAATTAGAGGCCTCAGGCCCCTTAGTGGGCAAGTGGTCCCTATTCGAACAGTCCAAGAGACGAGGCCCCAAGAGGAATTCGGTATGACCTACACTATCGCCCTCTTCTTGCGACACCATGATTAACCAAGGATTAGGCGATGCCTTTGTCGCAGAAGTCAATGTGAAGTCTGCATCCAAGGTGATAAAGTAAACTACCGACTTGCATACTTTGCCGGTTCGAACACCACATTAATCGATTCCTTAGGGCTATCGACACGGCTTTCCCCAGAGACCCTTCCCTTCCGCTATCCCACCTCCGTCGCTTCGCCAAAAGAGAATTGCTCCCACCGCCGCTGAGGGCAGCGATTGAAAGTCAGAGCGTTCCTCTAGAGACCCCGGCACAAACAATCTTCGTCCTCATATCACCACCATTGCCCGATCTCACCACAGTCAAGGCTCTGCTCGCTCCGTTTGCGCCAAACACAGCGCCGGCCACTACAAACGATCCTGCGACTACAAATGAAACGCCAGAGGAAGCTTCACCCTCCGATCCCCCTTCCCCTACTATTCAACTTCACCCAATCAAAATCCCCCTTGCACCCCCCTTCAACACAACTCAAGCCGAAAAATGGACCAAGACCCTCTGGCCAGTCATATTCAACCCAGCAGCACCCCGCTCAACTGTTGCACCGCCCCCTCAGACCCTAAAACGCGCACAAGAATCTATTGAACCACGAGCAGGGTACTACTTATCCCTCGCGCGCAAAGTAGCAGAGGAAGCAGAACAATCTGGGCTAGGCCGTGGCGTAGGCGCAGTGATAGTCGACCCTGCCATTGAAGAAGAGATAACCGAGGCAGGTTATGAGGCCGGATATGACACTACATCAGAATGGGACGAAGCAGTCCTCGCAGTTGCCGGTGATGCACGGTACTCTCGATCCGAGGCGGGCGCGCCATCCCAGGCCCAGCTGCACACTGGGGTAGCGCCGAACCCAGCGAGCAAGACATACGATGCAGATATCGAGGGCGGGCCTGAACTGCACGCGTTAATGCGTGCCGTCGAGCTGATTGCTCGTTGGCGCCGAGAACACGATTGTTCTGACGGCATGCCTGCATCAACAGCTACTGCGGATTCATTGAAGCCAGAACTAAACCAGCCAGAGCTGAGCGCCCTCGAATCATACTTCTTATACCGACACCGTCCTGGTGCATCCCCCAACTCCTCAAACCCACCTCAATCGCCGTCCTCTCCATTGAAGAGGAAACACGAAGTCCCGAATCCCGAATCCGACTTGACTATCGACACCTCTACAGACCCCTCGCAATCCCAGCTCCAACACCCACCTCTCCCCGCTCCTCCCCCATCTACCGTGGTACTTGCGGATTCTTCTACCACAGCTACAACGCCCGCAGCTCCGCGTATTCGCACCCGCTCGCAGGGTGGCTACCTCTGCACAGACTTGGACGTCTACCTTTCCCATGAGCCGTGTCTCTGCTGCTCTATGGGCATGCTTCTCTCCCGGTTCCGCTCTGTCATCTTCCCTAGAAGTGGGAGGTTAGAGAGTGGCGGCCTGTCTTCTGAGCCGGCCGTTGGTCCTGTGGCCGATGAGCGTGATCAAGATGCAGAGGCTGATACTTCTGCGGTTGATGGACAGGAAGAGAGGGGATACTATGGGCTACATTGGAGGAAGGAGTTGAACTGGAGGGCTCTTGGATTTGAGTTTGTGGAGGATGGGGAAGTGGAAGCCAAGAGCGATGCTGGAATGCCTGTCTTCCATGCTTGATTGCATATATTCATTACTGTATAACTCGGTTCACTATACGTCATATCGAGTATAGCCTACATGCTATATACATCCAACTCCGTACATTTGGGTGTTTGTGCTGAATTGGCCTTGCGATAGTTGCGCCGAAGTGGGATGCCCTGATCTAGCGCCTGAAAACGGTGAACTCCATGACCAAGAAAACCACGTAGGCGGCAAGAAGTACCAGGCCAGCCATTCGGTGGGGTCCTAGAAAGACGACCACAACAAGTGACAGCGAGGACACCCATACTGTCACCAGATCAAACAGAACAAAGGTATCTGACCCATCCAGGGGGTTTCCCGCTACCGCAACAACACCGACGCATAGCGTTAGTAGGAAGATGTTACTCCCTGCTGTGGTTGCAACAATTATGCCTCCTTGTCCACGAAATCCGCTGAGCATCGCAACCAACTTCTCCGGTAGGGTTGTGACAAAAGCAATCACGGTTAATCCAAAGACAGTACCTGACAGATTGAGAGAGTTGGCGATAGCACCTGCGCTGTGGGCAAGGATGTACCCCGACAAGGAGAGTGCTAGCAATCCGAAAATAAGCTGGATAACATGATGATAAAGCGGTCGGGGAGGCTTTTTCTTTTTCTTGTCCACATCTGTATCTCCTAATAGAGGGGAAGACTCCGAGGCTGACTGCCCGGCACTTTGCCCCAATGTTGGTTCGCCATGAACATCGATTGATTCGTCGTCACTGTCACTTTCACTGTCCGACAGCTGAGGCGGTTCACTGATACCTCTATAGATGGCAAATCCAATAGAGATGATATAAAAGGCGAAGAGAGCGATGAGAAGCCCACCAGTAACTCTATTCAGCTGATGAAAGTATGCCAAGATGATGAAAACAGTCGTGATGAAGAATTGGAGTGCAGAGTATATCTTCGCACTACTGTCAAAGGGACTATCGCCTGGATGACATAAAAGCCCGAGCGAAAAGGCACCGAGGATATTGGAAATTGAAGATCCCATGACATTTCCTAGGGCTAAAGGGGTGTGACCTTGCAGGATTGCAGCGACAACAACAGCGAGCTAGGGAGAGCTTGTCAGTATAGACCGATTGGAGAAGCTTGAGCTATGTACCTCTTCGTATTCAGCCCCAGCAGTCAAAAGGGCAATGAGAGTTGGGGAGATGCCTAGTCGTTGTCCTACAATTACAGTGTGATCGATGAATTTGTCTGCACCATAGTCAAGAACAAAGACCCCGGCGATTAGGACTGCCGTGTTGAAGAAGAGACTGTCCCAATCCATGATATAGGTGTTGGAATGTTTAGGTAGAGATGTAGTTAGCCGTTCAAGTCTTGTCCCGAGTTATGTGTATTGAAATTACATGCCAATACACGCTACGATAGGTGGAGATATGCATAAACTACGTAATATTTGAAATAATCCATAGTACATGTAGTTAGGTGGTGATACTACTACTACTACTACTACTACTACTACTACTACTACTACTACTACTACTACTACTACTACACTCTGAAGATGACTTTGAAACTTCATTTGAAATTTTTTTTTGGGTAAAAACAGGCTTTTTGACATACCACATCAGGTATTCTGCGTTCTCACGCAATTCAGACACCCAACCTGTAACCTCCACACTCCAATCCTCCAATCTCCACCGAGGTCTGCATCGTTAACCTCCCTTCTCTTCCCAACACGAGCAAGAAACGCCCCTGACGCCCCAGGCTGAACAATTCCAGCCTCCTTCGACACCCTTCTATGCAGACAAAGCAATCAAGATCAAGACAAGAAAATTCGTGACTTCGTCACAGTATCTCCTGTATCGACGCCAGATGTCGAATGACATGGCAAAGTACATAAAGAATTTGGTAGGAACAGCATGGAGATCCATTCTTTTCGTCCTGGGCATGTGTGTGATAGAGCCAATATGGCTTCGAAGAATGTGTCCATGAGAAAACGGAGAGGGGTATAAACCGAGGTCGATATCCCATAAGATACAGCCCAGAGCTCGACGAAAAAAAAACTATTGGCTCAAAAGACAATGGGTTGTGGACTAGCAAATGATTCGGGTTCATCGCACTGGAAGAAAAAAAAAAGAGCAAAAAAAAGAGGTCAAAACGGAGTTGGGATAAATGCTTTTGTGAAGCAAAAGTGAGATATGATCAAGAAGCCTTTGGGGAGAGAGATAGATGTCAAGGGACCGCCGCGCCCTATATTATGTTCTTCTCCCCAGATGGCTCCATTGTAAACAGTGTTTCATGTGCAGAGGCGAGCTGTAAACACAAAAATGGAACGAGCTCGCCGAGATTGATGGGTGTTATGTATGACCTGTCAATACAGGCGGCAGATAATCCTCTGAAGTGAGGATCAAAATGCATGACTTTGTGGAAGACACAAAACTTGATGTGTCGTAGGATTTAGTGGGTATGATGCTTTTTCAATGCGTCGTTGAAGAACGGATGCCCAGCCTACTGGTGAAGCTTTCGGGTCGAGGAACCTCAATCCATTCGCTGGTAGAACAATAGATAGGCCACTTTGTTGTCACGGGAGCCATAGCGGCCCAGGGGGGTTCGGGACCCGGAGGGAGCGGCGGGAGGGGGAGTGACTGCGTTCACGGATTTCTTGCTTGCATGTCCGTTGGCACCATTGCCATTGACCTGGCTCCAGCCCTTATCGCTGTCAGTCAAATCCATGTCGTCCTGGTCGATATGGTCGAAAATATTGCCGTTCGGGATCTTTCCGTGCTTGTGCTGCTCAAGAGCAGCAGCGAGAAGCTTGGGGTCTTCCTCGCCACCGGCTTCCGCCACGTCCTCACTGCGAATGCGACGGATAGAGGTGTCGTCCATGCGGATCCATTCCAAGCCTTCCTGTCGCCGAACATCGACTGTGTAGTGACCGCCGCTGGCGTTCTTGCCGTGGTGGTAGATGACACCCATAAGGCGATACTTCGGAGGACCTCCCTGGGATGCCATGGCGTTACGCCGATGAGGTGGGAAAACCTCCCGTGGAAGCTCCAGGTCTAGGGGATATCCAACCTTCTTCCAGATCTTCTGAGTGGCACCCGTGACATTATCATACTGGAAGCGTTTGAGATGAAGAATGAGGACAGGGGGCAAGGTTTCGATGAAGATTTGTTTGGTGGCGGTGATGTTGGGTCCTCGCGACGAGTTGAAATCACCCTGGATGCTTTCCGGCTTTGTCATTCCCTTGAGCGCATCGAGAATGTTGTGAACGTCATGCGCTCCAATGTCGAGTTGCAAAGGTTGGTATGGTTCCAATGTGACAGAAGTTTTGTTGCCAGGGACCTTGAATTCCGAGCGAAGCTTTCCCCCAAAGATTCTGGTGACCGGCGACTCAGCGGCAAGAGAGCCAGACAGTTGGGTGACCGCTGATTTTTGCTTGTGGCCAACTTCTAACCAGCCATCGACGGAAGAATCGCCACTTTCCTTCGCTGCAGTGCGCGATTCGGCACGAGCGCACTCCTCATGCATTTCCTCCAGAAGGAAGCCTAGGAACTCTTGAGCATCCTGCTGATGTCCACGTCGCATGTCCCTGAATCGTGGCAGCTGTCGAACCATCTCATAAACAAATTCAGGAACGAAAGACTCGCCATATTGCTCAAGCTCATTGGGCTTCAATCTGAGACGAAGTTGGTCTTCGGAAGTAGCCGCGTCAATAACACGGAATTCTTTCATAAACATGATCATCGCATCGATCAAGGGAAGATCGCTGTGGAAGGTGTGTGCAGCACGTCGGCCAAGATGATCAAGAAACTGGTAGAATGGGGTACAAGAAACAAGAATTTGCAACACAGAGTTCATGTAGCACATGTTTCCAGTGTTGACCAGTCCCCGAGGCTCAAGGAAAGCGATCTTGTCGCTGTATTGAGTGACATCTTCTCCTAATTTGCTCAGGACATCTGCAAGGGACTTGTTTTTCTGAACAGGCAATCCATGTGGCTCAGCCAAAGCGGCGGCGGCGGCGGCGCTTGCTGCTTTTGCTGACTCCTTCGAACGGACCAAATCAGCCCAAGACTTGGGTGCAGCTGATACGGGCGAGATTGTCTTGGTTTCGGTGGAAGGAGTTTTATCAGATTCGACCACTGGGGCAGGAGTAGCAGGTTCAGTTGATTTAGGAGTTTCAGATGCGACGCTACCATCTTTGGCTTGGCGACGTGGGGTAGATGGGACATTGGGCACCACTGGAATAACCGGAGCAGGCTTTGAGATTTTCGACTGTGCCTGTGATCTCGCAGCTGATGAAGGAGTGGTGGGTTGTGTGGAGTCTGCATCTGACTGTTGGAATGTGGTGGTTGTTGGGGTTTGAGGTTCCGAGGATTCTTGGGTGGATGAACTTGATGGTTGAACCTCTTCGTTTCCATCTCCTTTGATGACCATGTGCGTGTCTTTGGTAGGAAGCTCAACCGATGATTGCATGACACGGCCCTTGCGACGCCTGCGAGGGATTCTGGCCGGGAAGGGCTGCTCAGGAACAGAAAGCCAAGGAATCTAGACTGACAGTTAGAAAAATATACAATTTTGATACAAGATGAGATCAAACACTTACTGGTGCGGCAAAAGTGGGCTTCGGGGGCAAGTTTGACTGTGGCTCCCATCGCGGTGGCGGCGAAGCGATGGGATATCCCTGGACCGAGTGCGGTAGAACAGCAGGGTATTCCTGAATCTCGGGCTGAATGGGCTGGATCGATGGATGCATGACGGATGGAGACATTATCGGTTGCAGTGGAGTCGGAGTTCTTTGATGCATGGGCATCGAATGAGGAATATGCGTGGGCGCCATGACAGGCTGCGAGTGAGGATAAGAGGATACAATCATCGGTGCATAGGGCGCCTGGTATGGACGTGGGGGGCCCTGGATATGTCCATATGGTGGGTACCAGTAAGGGTATTGCTGAGATGAGTATGGTTGATGAGGCATGTGGCCATTCATATGAGGAGGATATCCCATGTACTGTGGTGATCGCATGTGGGGAGGCGCGGCGTTGTAAGAGAAATCTTGCTGGCGCCGTGAAGGAGGCATGGGCAGCTGCCCATGCGGCATGGCAGGGAGGTGGTGATTCATCTTGGGCTGGCTAGAGAAAGAAGTTGTCTTGACGTTCGGTCACGCGTTACCTCAAATGAGTGCCATGCGCGATAGCAGTCAAGAGGAAAGAAAAATCTGGAGCTGCTGGCGCATTTAGGCAGCCATCATGGCCTCAGTAAGAGCTGTTGGATATGTTGGAGAGTGGGAGTGTAGGATGAACTAGGTCAAAAGAGCTGTTGGGGTTGCTGGGGATTGGTTGGAAGGAGACTGGCAAACCAGATCGGAGTGAGGAAACAAGAGAAAGAAGCAGATCGCTGTACAAGTGAATCTCTAGGCGAAGAGAGCCGACAGGTGGGGGTGAGAAGCGAGTGAGCAGAAGTAAAAGAAAAAAAAGAAGACCTCTGATTCACCGTCAAACGAAATGAAGCTGAAGGGGACCGAGACCGAATTGGGTGTCGGGACTTGTTGGGTCACGTGACATTGCGATTTGTAACCCGAGAGGGGCGAAACTAGACCTTCACGACATCATCTGGCACCCTGAGGGCCGTCCCTCGATCCTTACTACTATTCTTACATGGCCTTTAGGGCCATTCATTCTCGTTCACCTCTTCTGGTTCATTCTGAGGCATCTGGTGGATCACTCGATCTACTGCCCGCTAGCTGATTGCATCTTATCAGTTGTTGGCTTTATCCAGTCCCCCATAGCACACCCCTCATCTTCTATTTCGGCCAACTGGCTTGTTTCGTCCCTCTACCTTGTTGGATTTGTTGGGGTCTCACTGTTGCAGGACAAATACCGCATAGATATGTCATCCAATGCAGGACAAAACCCGCCCCCTTCGAAAGCGGTAAACATTCCAAACACGGTCTCGTCTACTCCATTCCACTCTGCAGCTCTAGCGGACAACAGCAGCTCTCAGAGGCGCGTAGGAGGCCCTGCAAGCTCTCGGCCAGGGGTATCATCGAAGACTTCAGCCACCCCAAGGAATAACCAAGCTCGGAAGAGTCAACATAACCGTCAAAGAAAACCTCGGTTATTGGATGATGACGAGTACAACGAATCGGTGGGTTCACAGGTCTATCTTCCACAAGAGCTGCCTGCTGACCCTGGAGGCGTTATACTATATAGGCCGCCATGAAATCCACGACTAGTCGGAAGGGACAGACGTCCATCACTCACCTGATGAACTTTTCACTTCCACCCCGCCCGCAATACCAAGCACCTCCTCGCAACATTCGAC